ATGATATTTTTAGATATCACTATGAATCTTGTCTTCAGCCATGTAACACGTTAATTCTGGCATACTAATGCCAACTCTCCCTATTTCGGAGCGAGACTCCTGATTTTGAACCCTAAAGTTTAGCATTTTCAACCAGTGAGTTTGCTAAACTCTTCCTGTTTTCTAAGATTTAATGATTTCATCTGAAATAACAGCTCAAAAGATGCCATGGAAATTTTAAAAAATTGGCAAGTATATGTTCTGGTAAGACGCACGGCCTCCCTAACTCAGTGTCCGGAAGTCCATTACCTAGCTGCTTCAATTAATATGAAATGTCACTATCGGTTTACTTGGTTTAAGTAACACGTCCAGAGAAAAATCTATCTTGCTAGTTTTCACAATGAAGTGGACCAGCAATATAACTATGTCTATTCTTAGTTCCTTTGCAACCTAAACATGTTTCAACGACGACAGCGTTACTCAACTTTCAAATCTAGCGGACAAGCCTCCGCATTAGAATGTCATTGACAAATGCTTTAGGCTGTTCCAATAGGTTGATCATTGCAGTGAATCTTGGTAGGATTTTTAGCCCACCATCATCTGATGGTGGGCTATTCAAATCACCCTGCGTCTGTGGTCCGTGGTCTGTGGTCCGTCCTTAAACAATTCTTGTTATCAGTATTTCTTAAGAAGTACCAGAGGGATCTTTCTTAAATTTTATAGGTAGGTTCCCCTTGGTCCTTAGCTGTGCAGGATAGCTTTTGAGACTGATCGGATAAACAACATGGCCGACAGGCAGCCATCTTGGATTTTGATAGTGAAAGTTTGTTATCGATATTTCTCGGGATGTACCAGAGGGATCTTTCTCAAATTTTATATGTAGGTTCCCTTGTTCCCTTGTTGTGCAGCAGTGCCTGAAATGGATGGGCGCCTGCTTGCCAATGGCGATTAAAATCTTGCTTGGGCGACCAAAAGTTGTCAAAAGTGAGGTAGTCACTGGCCCAACAAAAATAGTTTGGGCGACTGTTGAAAAATTAATGAATAAAAGAAATTATAGTCCCTTCCACATTAACTTGGGGGCAGTGCATTTTTCAGTTGTCATTACTTCGATTTGAATCGAACTGTCCGTGATTTAGAAAATGTGATGATTTTTTATTTTTTATTTTTCTATATAAATACTGCCAGGGTGTCTTCTTTGAGGTGCGAGTTTTGTGTATTTCTTTGGGAATCATATCAGGTTTTAACTACATGTAGGGTTGAAGAATTAAAAAATTTATGTTTTTATTTTGTTTTACATATTACAAACATTGTCATGTTATATGTAATTTAAATGTGCTGAAGCATTGTGTTAAATGCTGTGGAAATATTTCTTCCCAAAAATATTTTGGCTACCAATATTTTACTCGCCCCGAAATATTTTTTGGGCCAGCCAATGCAGGTTCCCCACTAGCCTTTATTGTTCATGTTTACTTTTGAAACTGATCAGTTAAATAAAATGGCCTACCGACAGCCATCTTCGATTTTTGACATTGAAGGTTTGTTAGTAATATTTCTCAGGAATAACTTGAGGGATCTTTCTCAAATTTGATATGTAGGTTCCCCTTGATCCCTCTCGTTGTGCATGTTATATTTTGAGACTGATCATAAATACAAAATGGCTAAAGGAAGAAATAAACAGATCTTTCCCATATTGCAATGATTCTATTTCTTTCACATTAAGTACTGTACTAGTAAATATGTGAAATGACAAACTCATTTCACATGTCTTTTATACACAGCAGTATTAAGTTTAGATCAGAAGTTACCTCAAGGTGCTTTTACTGTTAACATGACTCGATCAAACAGATTAGAAAAAACAAGAGAAAAGATCGAACTGACAAAGAACTTATAAAGATGGTACAGTGGTGGGCACCAAGATCCCTCTGGGATCTCTTGTTTAAATATTTTTTTGGTGCCGTTTTTATTGTTTTAAAAGACAAACATGTGAATATAAGTATCGACATGCTTTTAGATTGGTTCATAAGCATTATGATTGCTCATTGCAATGCAGGAAAATGAAACATGGTTCAAATAATTTTCCTGTGATATAGTGGGTATTCATATTTCCTATGAACCGTATCTGAAAGCAGTTTAATGCGTAAATATGACTATCCATTCAATTGCACTTAAGCGCAATGTATCTTTTAGCACCCTTTCCTGACAATATCTTCAAAAATAGTCGAGCCTTTCCTTTTGAAAATTTACAGATATTGTTTGGTCTTAACTCAATAGGTCATGGTAAAAAAAAGAGGTCAAAGGTCAAATCATTGTACAGCTTATCCACAAGATGTACCTTCTAAATGGCTGAAACTTTTTTCTATGCAACGTCACAGATTTGTTTGTTATAACCAGACAGTGTGTCATTTAACACTAGATCTATAACCAAAAGATCAAGGTCAAGGAAAGGGGTCAAAGGTCAAATCATTGTTATGCATATCCAACCCATGTCTTCTAAATGGTTGAACTTTTCCTTTTGATATCAAGTATAATTATATTAATCATGACCAGACAGCTTGTTGTTTAAGATTTTGGTTCTGCACCTTTAAAGTCAAGTTAAGGGCAAGGGGTCACAGGTCAAATAATTGTAAAACTTGAATGTATGAAATTCTCCTGTCAGGTCTTGGAATTGATTTGAAATTCATTTTAAGAAAATACAGAGTTCATCAATTTTCAAAATACCGGTTATTAAATTGAAATCAACTCAATAGTCTACTAAATAAATGATAGTATATGAAAGTTGGTCGGAATTAAACAAAGAGACACACTGAGGTAAAAAGTCAAGGTCAAAGGTCAAGGTCATAAGGTTCAAAGGTCCAAGTCAAATTTTGCATCTTTTCACTGATGAGCATTTTATTATGACATGATGAAGCAAAGTTGATCAGAATTAAACAAGGAGTCAACTGATCAAAGGTCAAGATCAGAGGTCAAGGTCATTGGGTCAAAGGTCAAGGTTAAATTTTGTATCTTTTACTGGTGAACATTTTGTTATGAAGCTTTGAAGCAATGTTGCTCAGAATTAAACAAGGAGTCAATCGACTAAAGGTTAATGTCACTGGGTCATAGGTCAAGGTCAAATTTTGTATCTTTTCCCTGATGAACATTTTTTTGTGACATTATGAAGCAAAGTTGGTCGGAATTTAACAAAGAGTAAACTGACTTATGGGAACATTTACCAATATTTTCAAATTCTTATTCTTTGATGACATGACAAGTATTGTATTTCACTTAGTTTACATGCTGATTTCCACATCACATCTAAACAATAAAATAAAGCTACCAGTACCTATGATATAACTCAGGTGACCACGTGCACTAAGGCCCTTGGGCCTCTTGTCTAAATTTGTTTATCTGATCTCTATGAAGTTATTGCTTTGTTTGTGCCAAAAAAAAATGTTTAATTTATCCTCTGTCCCAATTAGATTTGATCTGGAAGCAGTTTTTATGAGTTCGCTCAATTTGCCTGTCATATCAATTGAAAATAGTGGTACTGAATGTTCTCAATCTAATGTCTGGTGATAAAACCACAACAAAGTACTCGTCTTTGAGAATTGATTTTTTTTTAAGTTTCTATGGTATGTAACATTAGCTGCAAGCTGTTTGCCATTATAAATTTGTTTTTATTACTGGAGTACATTTCTAAATTACTTTTGTAATACATGCTGCCAACTGTTACCAAACATGCAGAAAGGTCAAAGTTTAGACTGTTGCTGAAGCAGATTGCTCTGTGTCCTTCCCCTTCCTGGCATAATCACATTCACACATAAATACTGTTCTCCGGGGCAGAGATATTTAGTTATATGTACATGTATACATTATTTGATATTTTAACTCATTCCATACACTTTTGCTTTTGCCTCTGAGGTGAGTTTAATATCTGATAATCAATATCCTTGTTAAAAATATTGTCATTTCTCTTCAGAATTCATAGTTCTGGTGGAGAATAAAGTTCTTTTTTCTCTGTCATTATTATGAAGAAAAGGCAAGCTTTTGAAAATGCTTGTCAAAAATTATTTAAAAAATAATAAAAATAATAATAATGATACTCATGAGTCCTATAAATTGTATTACAAGTGGCAGTTTTAATAGTGTGCTTAATATGTGGCTGTCAGGTGGTTCAGTCTTACCACAATGAAGTCATTGTACAGAAACAGACTGCAATTTTAATATGAGAAATGGACAATCACATTCCAATCCGGTTGATTACACAAGATTGTGTTATAAATAGTCCATCTACAGCAACACTCAATGTCTCAGCCCAGTTATCTTCACCTAATATAACTTTAAGACATTTTTGTACAAACTTTTACTCCATTTGCAATGAAAATTCTTTTTTTTTGTCAAATTGTGATCAGGAACACTTTTAGAAACAACTTGATTAAGAAAAGACGAAGCAGAGAAACTGTTCTATATTGTACTGTAATAGCAACAAGCTGAACACATCGGGTCCAGCTTCTGCATCTGTGGCCTGGTTATTATTAAAATGTGTGTGTTATGTAACAGAAGGCTTGGATAGGCTTTGCCTGTATTATTCCTGGTTAATTTAAGATCAGTGTATGATAAGTACCCCCCCCCATTACAGCGCAATGCTTACCCTTCTGAACAGTAATTATAATGCTTATTTATTGAACTTTCGTATGTACATGTTTTATATTGACAAGACAGTAGTTTTTGCTTATAACACCCTAGTCTATACTTTCAAGGTCATGGTCACATCAAGGGGGTCAAAAGTCAAATTACAGCAATGCTTATCCAAACTGTAACTAAACTATATAATCATATACGGAATAAGATTCATCAGTCTTTCGAAAACGTCAGTTTCCTTTGTCAAGCAAAGAGTGTAAATGGCTTGTGTCTCGACTATATCTATAATGGCAATAACTTAGTTGCTGAACATAATATTTAATGAAATACAATACTTAATGAAATACAGTATATGTTAAATGACAAACATGATGCGGAACTGCACTGGGTCGATCGTCAGCGACCAGGTAGCTCAATTGGTAGAGTATCCGTCTGGAGTACGAAGGGTCCCGGGTTCAAACCCCGGTCTGGCCATTACATTTCTCTTTCTCCTGTTACATAACGAGGATGGTGTGCTATATGACACAATATGTAAACTTATAACCCAAGGTGAACAATGGCAGATCTCTGTGACAGTATAAAACTTTGAAAACACTTTTGGAATACCCATGTTGACGTCAAGATTCTAAACAATGATCAACAGCAAATAGTATCAAAACGTTTAAAAACTGTAATGACATGATCAGTTGAGGAATTTACGAGGGGTGCCAGCGTGTTTCTGTACAATGAAGAAGATCTATCGTTACAAATGGGACTGTGTGCTATACACAAATCCTCTTTTACACAGCGAGTTTGTCAGGACAAATTTTCGACAAATGGCAGAACAGGGAATAAGTACAAACGCACAGGAAGGTTTTGTACATATAAAATCCATCAAGAATTAGTCTGTAGTGTCGGCTGACACAAATACATCAGCCATTCTAGATACATTCCCCTAGTCCGGTATCGATTTTTGTCAAATTATATATATATACATTTTCAATATAATTGCCAGTCTGAATTAAGTGTGTGATTCGTTTCAGCAACACATATTCAGACTCTGTGCCCCATTTAATGTCTTCATTGGATGAAGTAAATTTATTTTTAAAAGTACAGCCTTTAGTTTGTAGAGCAGTGCTCCAGACCAGTGTTGTCAGGCACAACCTCACTGATTACATGCCTGGCATTGTAATGGTATAGCCAACTTTAATGGAGCTGTCCGTCTGATCAGACATCATGGGTCTAAACAGGTCTTCTGGTGATAAACTAATAACCATAGACAAAAACCTTACCGAATGTTCTTTTTTTTTGCAATGAATCAGACCAAATGTTTGCTGAATGATATAGTCTGTAATATTAACCCTTTCACCACTGTAGACTATAATGGACTCATCCATATCAATGCATGGCAGAGTCTACTAAAGTTACATAGGGTTGAAAGGGTTAAAGATCTCTTCAACTCATACCTGCTTAAGAAGATGTAGATTCAACTTCGAATATTGAATATCCCATTGGTCAATCTTGCATTAGGCATATGTTTAAAATCCACCTTTAAAGTTAGCAGTGACCACAAAGGTTTCTTTATATAAGAGGTGTCTCACTTGATTTTTTAGACAGGGTTGAAATACATCAGATTAAAGGCCCCCTCTGTATGGTTGAATTACTTACAAAGGGTTTCCTTAAGGTAAAATTGCAGATGATGTGGTATATGAAGGTAGGTTTAAATTACAGATTAAGTAGTGGTTTATTTTGACAAGCAGAGTTAAAAGAGACTTGTGGTTTCTTTTAGACAGAAGTGAACTACAGGATAGATGGTATATTTAGACAGTTGTAAATTACATAGGAAGTGCAGAAGGGTTGAATTGCAGGAAAAATATTTTGTTGGACAGGGTTGAATACAGAAAAAAATGCTTGTTAGATATATATAGGGTTGAAATAAAGAAATGATATCTTGCTAGTTAGGGTTGAGTTACAGAAATAGTATCTTGTTAGATAGGGTTGAGTTACAGAAATAATATCTTTTTAGATAGAGTTGAATTTAACAGTGATTGTTTTAGACAGGGTTGAGTTGAAGAAGAAAACGTCTCCTTTACAGGTTGGAATAGACCAGAAGATGTCTCACTAGACATTTTTTTCCTCTAGACATTATTTTAGCACCAGAGGAAGGATGTTATAAAGTACGTGACGCCGAAAGCTGTTACACAATATTAGCCTGACTACAGCACCGAAGTGTTGGGGATTATACCAATTCCTGGAAATCCTGACTGACAATGTGCTAATTATCCTTGCTTTTCATGTGATGGTCACTAGTGGAAGACCTGACAACACCTAAAACATTTATACATTTTACCTCACATAAATGTTCTCTCTGTTAATTTCTCTAGGTACACTTGCACCTCACAATGTGCTGCAATGAGAAACTAGGAATTCAATACAGATGGCCTGTGATTGGGGGGATTGCCTTCCATGTATATTACAGAGTGACGTTGTAATTGCCCAATGTGGAAAAAAACAGATTCTCTGTGTTAGCTAATGTGTGCTATATTGCTTCAAACTTTGTCCTCATTAGGGTGGAAGTCAATTGCTTTCCTAATATCAACACAGGAAGTTGTAGGTCAGATGCTGCTGCGACGAGATCCCGAAAAACAACTGCAAAACCAGGATGATGCGATGCTGTATACCCAAATTGGAACAACTTGTAGGAACGAAACATATGTAGTACCCAATTAGAGATGCAAATGAAATGTTGACCTAGTACACATTTACCAAATTGAGACATTTTGCAGACCATTGTATCTTTATGTCCCAAAAGTGTAACCTTTTGAGCTACGTAAACCGCATTGCTCTTTCAAAGAAAAATTAACCAATGAGGGTATGTATACACACATATCAATTAACTGTAAACTTGCATTAAATTTTCAGTTGAGCTCTTCATTTGAAAATATTACAAATATAGTCGAACCATCAATATGAAAAACATCTATTGCAAAATGTCTTCGATGGAAAATAAAAAATAAAAATAAATCATGGCATTAGGAGATTCATTAATACGTTTTCTGAATATGTTTTTTTTCTCCCTGATTGAATTGGAGAATAAAAGACTAACCATATGGCCATTGACATCATGCTCCTTAAGTGCTGTGTTAATGTGATTGTGGGGAGGACCTTGTGTACACACGTATACAGCAGACATCTGGACTATATGTGAACTGATATTGATCAGTAAACAACGCGACAGACAGTATAGGGACTGGACATCCAGTGTGCACCGGTTCAGATGTTTTGTGCATGTCACCCGAGAGTTTGAGAAATTGACAGAATCTACCTATGAAAATGGACATTGTCAAGGTAAGTGGTTTTGGACTAAAGACATATATTAGTATGGATATTTAATCAACCTTTTTGGGTTAATAGAAACTATCAGTCGTATATCTGCAGACTGGTTCTTCTGTTGCCAAATGTATGTGTATCTTGATCAAGATTGAATGGTTACTTTTTGACCAGGTTCATTCATTAAATCATTATGAATTATATTGGTTGGTAGTTTTTAAGTTTGTTTAAGAAGTTCAGCTGCAAGATATGTGTTTCATGTCGAGGTAAAACAGGTGAAATTGCAATATGTCTTCTGAAGGTCAAGGTCGCAAGTCAAATAGTAGATAATGCATTGAAGGTCAAAGCCAGTCATATTGCAAGCTTTATTTACTTTAGGCCGAGGTAAGATTGGTCGGATTGTAAGATGTGCATTTTAGGTCAAGCCCCATCAAATTGCAAGATGCATGTGCATTGTAGGTCAAGGCCATCAAATTACAAGATGCATGTGCATTGAAGGTCAAGCCCCATCAAATTGCAAGATGTGCATTGAAGGTTTTTGCCATTGGATTGCAAGATGTGCATCGTAGGTCAAGGCCATCAAACTACAAGATGGACATTGCAGGTCAAGGCAATCAAATTGCAAGATGGACATTGTAGGTCAAGGCCAGAGATAAATTCCCTATATGTTCTTCACCACCCTTAATTAGCATTGCTATAACAGTTGAATGATGTCTAATCTATGGATAGATGACTTGTACAGCAACCCCCTGTCTGTCATCATCTTTCCTTGGTATATAACATGTCATTAAACTTTCCTGGACATGCAGCAGGAGATTTGTCTTTCAAGACAAGGACATTGTCGATCGTCATCTTTCATGGGCATTGAACATGATTTCTGTTTTGTTTCTTCAGTGTATAACATAGCACTGCCAATCATTGTCATGTAACAGCCAATGAGATCATCTTTACTGCTCGGTTACATGAATGATCTTTGATGGATAAGTAATCTCAGCTGCGTATGTCACCTTTGCTAGGTATGTAACATAACATAATCTTCTCTACAAATATAACATGATTTATGGTCTTTACTCGATATCTTTGTTAGGCACGCAACATGATATGTTAGGTTTTTATAAGTATTTAACAAGATTTTATGGCCTTCCCTTGGTAGGTAAGATTATAAAATTTCACATACTTCACAGAGTGATCCCATTGTTGCTAGGGAAAAGATAACTTTATCTCACACGGGTAGGGAAAGACAGCTGACATGCGCTATGACGTCATAATAATGAATTGTCGACGTGACATCATTGTATTGTTTCTGTGATGTCATACCCTTGTTGCAAATGGGGAATCCTCTGTCTCAACCCTAGGGTTTTGTGGTTTAGGCAGAAGAATCAGATCAATGTTTATTCGTAAGTATGTGGGGAAAAAAATTCAAACATGGGTCTGTTCCATGGACAGGGATATCTCAACCCTCATGTATTAGGGTTTGGCTGGCCAAACTCTAACACTCGGGTTGAGATATCCCTGTCCACAGAACAGACCTATGTAAGATTCTATTACTCTTTCATGTCCAGGGTTGTAGGATAGGGAAATTCCACCCGAGGGTTTTGCGAAATATGAAAATCCCGAGGGTGGAATTCTTTATCCTTCACCCTTGGGTATAAAGAGTATTTTTCTCTCATTCCAACTACCAGAATAAGCTCAGAGACCATGAAAATGCGTTTGGACTGTCTAACATTTTGAAAATATCAATTTTTCTCCTGAGCTTATTTGACAAAAACAAATTTGTCAGTGAGATTTAGTATACTCGAAATTTGCAAAAAAGTTTGCACAAAAAAAAATCTCATCTTTCAAATGTGTATGGTAAATATATCGTTAAAGTTTTTAATTTCATCACACTGCCTTTTCCCCATTGCAGCATCGGTGTTTTCCAAATTCATGTCGTCACATCATTGTTGAGCCATTGTGACATCAGGTCATGTGATATTTTCTACACCCCTTTCTTACCCTGAAGTACAGCTCTTCCTCTCATATCAAGTCGTGTAAGATAACGATGGCCATGTAAGATAGCCATGCTTGCTAAGTCTGTCTTGCATGGGCGTGACGTCACAATGGCTCAACAATGACATGACGTCACGAATTTGGAAAAATTAAAAAAAACTTGGTTGGAATTTTCC